ATGTGCACAAGTTAAACTCTTTGGCTTGAAAGAAAGCTTCCCAAAATTTGATGAAGAAATTTGCAACTTTGTTGCCGCCACTGGGCTCACTGTTTCTACTTCCTTCCACTTTTATTTGTAGAGCCCAATGAATAATTGTTGTGGCAGGCAGTAAACCTATACACATCGAGTAAACTGAAGGAATTCTGAATCTGAGGTTGCATAGCCAGAAACAATGACCCAGATTAAATTCAATCCAAAGTTCTTCCAGTAACTAATGCAATCTTTGCCATAAGGACAAAAGTACTGGGCCAAATCTCGTAATCTTTGAATTCAGGTGTTTTCAGTCCATTTGCCACAGATCTATCAAATCAAGCACCCAACCATGCAGTATGTCTTTGCAAACAGTTGTGAAAAAATAAGTCAAGTCAGCTTGTGAAATTTCTTTGGTCCTAAATATTCTGTGATCAGCTGTAAATGATATTATTGCAAAGCTGAAGCGTTTAGGTAGTTTATGGCACAGTTTCAAAAGGGTTTCCAGTTACCTATAGAGCAGATTTAATTGAGCTATATCAATCCACTGTAATGTGTAGGGTGTCTATTATCCATATAATTTAAAAGTAAAGTTTGAGTTAGGTTTGGCGCCATCAAGTGGAATAATCAAAAAAACAAACTATCGACAGAAAACTTTACATGGTCCATTAACAGTTATTAAAATGAGTAATTTTGCTTTTCTTGCTGTGTGTGTTTATCCTCCAGGCTGTCAAAGAACCTTATCAGTGACCAATCAGGAGAGAAGCTGCTTGAGGCTTTGAAAGCCTGCAGCCACCTGGAGGAGCTCGGGTGAGAATGTGTTTCATTCCTGTAAATGTGCTTTTGGTACTTGATTGCAACACTATGCAAGAGTTTGCATGTGCACGCACTTGGCTAAAGAAGTGCACAAAATAAGCCCTCAAAACTTTTGAGCGAACATTTTAATTTTCAAAATTGTTTATTTTCCTTGGAAAAGCTGAGTTTTATATATTTGGCTATATCATTAATTGGCATTTAACTCAAGCAACTCAAAGATTGTTTTAAAATGTACATATTTATATGTCTTTTTGTGCACTCTTCCAGTCTGTCCGATAACACACTGGGAAAGCTCACTGCTGCCAGGATGGCCCTCATTTTCCCATCACTGACACACCTCAGTGTGTTAGAGTAAGTCTCACACAGGGTTATATGTTCTTATTGATATGTGTTTCTCCCCTCACTTATTCAGCCTTTTTGTTCTTCTGTATTTCTGTGTCATTTATAGCATTTCGCTCAACCACATTGACCATGAAGGCTCCGATAGCCTTTCCAAAGCCATAATGTGCATGAAGAACCTCAAAAAGATTAAGTAAGACTCATTTGCTTTGATTATTTTCAGAATCACAGCTCACACAGGTGACTACACTTACTGATTGTTTTTTGTCTTTTGCACAATAATTCAGCCTGACCTCTGTTGGGACTTCAGAGCTGTGTCCTGTTGTAGCCAGTCTGGCTCACTGTCCCCTCATACAGGAAGTTGGGTAAGATAAAGCAAAGTGATCAAACATTTAACAATCTGGTGGTGTTCTGTGTTCTACTCATGGACGTGTCAGTTCTATAAGAGTTGGCACACACTGTATGTAATGATTTGTCAATCTTGTAAACTCATGTTTTATTCACAATAGAAAATAGAAAACACATCAAAGGTTTAAACTGAAATGTAGCATTTAAGAAAAATATTAGCTCCTTTTAAAGTTACTATGATCACCTATGGCTTCTTCTTTA